TAGTACGTCATTTACTGTAATAAGGCCAATTCCGCACAGCCTTCAGCTAGGACGGTACAGGGGCTAGCCCTTCAACACGTCCCGCACAAGCCGCCCAAAATCAGCATTCTTACAGCACCTTGTTACCATCCTGCATGTCGCCGCGCCCGCGCACAAGTAGTCTGCATGTCGTAGTGTCCAATCGCAGCCACGCAGTAGTCGTAGGTCGAGGCACGGGCGCCGCCGTGCCGGCGATCAAGCCCGAGGCACGCAATGCCCTGGTTGCCTTGCTGAGGAATTTGTCGAATAAGCTGACTGCTCTCACCGGAGAGGCAGCCAGCTCTGATTGGTAGATTTACAGGGACGCAACCACGGAATGGATGCTCCGTGGGTACGCCCTACTGTCTGTGCGGCACAGATGTGTCACACATGTGCACGCGCACGTGCGACAAGGCCCACATGATGTGGCACATCTGTGTGGCATGCAGACACTCTTTGTGTTGGCTGCATACTGCTGTGTGGTAATACTATTTTGTATGCAGAAGGCATCCCTATCGTAATACTAAGACTTGTCAGGTAATTGAAACAGTTGGCGGGGCCCCGGGGTCCCATCTGGACCCCGGTGCTCTCATCCTAAACCGGGAAACAGAAGTATAGAATATCACAAAGCAGCAGTGATAAAATATATTATCACTTCTTCTTTTTCTGTGTGCTAAAGAACTGCAGAATAGATGGTTGACTGGAGCGTAGTGTACCGTCTTTTAGTTTTCAAGCACGTCCTGGTTTGTGTGTGGACGGTGGATTGCTGTCATCAACGACAGTAGCACTTGTAACGGGGTACAAACCCCAAGTGTACCCAAGTTACATGAAGAGTGACCAGTCACTCTTGTAATACCTGGTACATGGTACCAGGGGCTCTAGGAGCCAATCGTTGCATATCTACCTAGATTCAGTATAGGTAACTTATAGTTTGTATTAGAAACCGAGTTAAGTTTACCTATAAATAAAATCAGTCTTAATCGTACCCTCAAGTAAGTACTTCGTCCCCTCAGACCAAGGACACGTGAACGGCTGTTCACTTAGAGCTTGTATACTCTAGAGGAAATTTACTTCCTCAGCGCAAGGTGCTGTGTGACCCCGTCACAGCACCGGTCTCTTTGGATTCCGCCGTTGATGCGCTAGCAATGACTTCTGGTACGTTTGGGTAATACTTCAGGTATTGTTTTGGAATGGAGAAGTACTTTGCTGCTAGAGACTTCATTTTCTTGGCTGAACGTTCTTTTGTGGGGTGTTTAGGTAGCTGGACACCAGAGAGTGAGGCTTCCCAAAAGGTGGGAATGTTGGATCCAAACAACTCTGATATTAGTGCCTTACGGCCGCTAGGAATGTTACTCGGGTCCATCGTAGGAAAAACAATAGCCTCGTCGTTAGGTGTGTCAACCGTCTTCCGAGCTGTGCATACTCCATTGTCAATCTCAAATGGATAGTTTGCTGTATAACCCGCAGAAGGTGGTGAAAAATATTTAGCGAGAAGCTCACCCCAGCCAACAAAATATGTACAATCTGCGGCGTTGTGGTCAATAAAGACTCCTTTCACACTCTTTACCTCGTTCACCTTTTCCACTAGATCCATCGGAGTATATAAATTAGGCCTCGGGTGATATAGTAGTCGGAGACTGCATAAGGCATCGACATTTTTTTCCTTGTCCACGCTCGTCATCGAAATATACATTGTTTACGTCAGCAACGACAAAGTTATGAAGCATGAGATTGCTGTTAAAGTAGTCTGCAGATGGACGACAGTGTCCGTAGTAAGGCATCAAAATACCTCCACCGAAATCCTCTGCCTGGATTGGAACGCGACAATTAGCATCATCAACTTCAATTTGACTGGCTTCAACACTCTCAAAACCACGGTCATCATCGGGCATAGTATCAACAGTGTCTTGAATAATTTCGCTCGGGACGTTCTGCTCAGGAGAATGTAAGGCGGTATATCCTTTTATAAGGGACGATAGAAATCGGCGTTGGGCGATGGCTTCATTGATATGTGTTTGTTTTTCAAGTATGATTTCTTGCCTCTCCTCATCTGATAGATCGGGATGCTGAAATAAAACATCGAGGCGAAAGCAGCAGTCGCATGCGTGTTCAGCGGTCCTTGTTAGCCGCATGTCAGGGTAGTAAAGATGCACATACTGTGTGAATCGGGTGTAACTGATAGTTCTAGCGTCCAAGTACACACGCTTAATTTCTTCTTGGTAACGGGAATGACTAATTCTTCACGTAATCTTAGGTTCGGTGAAGTACTGTCGTGGTATGCGGTGTGCGCATGGAAAACCGTCCTCCATTACCCACGGAGAGCAATGCTCTTTAAAACGAGTTATACATTCATCACTAAAAGCATGAGCTGGTTTTGATGGTTCACGCCGGGTATGGAAGGTTTCAACGCCGCTTTCTAGCATCTTCTTTAGCCTTGCTACACGATTACCGCCAACTGGAAGTATCACTCTAATCACACGTTCGGACAAACCCTGTCTCAGTAGCTGCAGCACGACACCCTCCGATTGTTGCCACTCTCTGCCTCCTTCGCTTGTATCCCACGACTCCCAGTCCTCACCCATTTTCTTGATATTATCTTCTCCAAGTAGCTCAACCGCGCGCGCGTACGCAGCTTCTTTTCTGTCAGGGCCCTTTCTTCTCTTTCTGTGCTGCTTTGTAGAGGCGGAGCCTCCTCCACGTCGACGCTCCATCTTCAGCCTTGGTTGTTTTGCTTGTGATATTAGTGAGGCCAGCGCATTGTCCAAAAATAAATAATTCGTGATACCGAAGAAATGTTTTGCGGCACCCCGGGGTCCCGCCAACTGTTTCAATTGCCAAAATTTGATCAAATCGTCATTTGCTTGCATTTTCAAGGCAGAATTCTTTTTACCTCATCCAATGGACAAAATTTGCTAACATTTTATATAGCAAAGGGACGTTTTACACTTGTTGCAGTGAAAACGTAAATTACGCTACCCAATACCTTCTGCAAAACTTCATGAATGACTAATAATACGATACACAACAGTGGTCATTAGGAGATACCTGTGTGAGGTTAGTCAGCTAAGAAAATATTACCTGTGTCGTCACCCCCTAAATTAAGGACGATTGCTATTAACCCTTTCGCGAGCCACTTTAGTAAACTATACAAATCTAGGATAGTCGGTATCAAAAGGAGGCATTATGCCTCCGAGTGATGGACCACCTCAAAATCTTCCAAGTTTTATTTTCTTGGTTTTTCTATGGCCATAACGACCTGTCGTAAACGTACCTAAATATAAACAAGCCGAGCGGTGCCCCGCTAAGCGGGGCTCTTTGAACAGTGTTAAGCCGAGCTGACAGGGCACCCGCCTCGCTTCGCTCGGCGGGAATATAGAACTGGTTTGTGGACTGCATCCTCTAAGAATAGCCTACTGACGCCGCCCACTTTATTAGTGGTGTCCACAGAGCAGCCTATACAAATCTCACCACTTTGATTGGCTGACACACGCTCAGCCAGTGATCAGCCCGAAGGAACGTGACAGCTCTGTAAACAGGTGGTTGGCAGTACCCCATAGTGAAGGGAGGGGAGGCGTTAGCAACTTATATATATAGAAGAAGGCATTTTGCCTTCAACATGGATACATTGTCGTACTTAGTTGAAACCAGCAAATCAAAGCAAAGGCACGCGATAACATCTGTCTTAGCAAATTCCTGGATACAGTAGGACACAATGGGATTGAGCCGATATCTTGATTAAAATAATAAATTGTTTACTGCCCAGCACAAGACCAATGTTCCAAGTAGGGGTTCAAACACAAACGGCTATACTGCGGATGCGGGAAGTGAGCGCCCCCTCCCATAATTTTTGAACTCCTGAAGTCAACTTTTATCCGTTTGGCGCGAACTGGGTACGAGAATGCGCCAAAATACATAGCGAAGACGTTGAAAAAAAAACGCTGATTGGTTATTGGCCTTAACGGTCCGCCAATCAGTGTTTAATAAAATATCGTGGCATAAATAGTGAGCGCCCGTCCACAGATGTTAATATTTAGAGATTTGTATTCACATTTGAAGTTGTTCGAATATTGCAACAATTTGTATGGGGAATTTCTTTCTCAACGGAGCTGGTTCTGCATGCACGCCGTCGGGTGTCGACTCGGCAGCTTATCATTCTCAAGTGTTAGTAATTAAGCATCAATGGTGTCCCAGCGCCATCGCTGGTCACATGGCATTCGGCTGCAGTGCATACAGAAGCACCGAAGCGGTCTAGGCTACACCAGTATCAGCAAGCTGCTGGAACTGCCAAGTAGTACTGTCCGTTCTATTATTGCTTACTTTAACAAGCACAACCATGCGAAGCGGATACCTCGAACGGAGCGCAAGAAGGTCACAGAGGCCCGCCATGACTGCCGAATCGTCGGTGCTCTTGAAGTGAATCGCTTCATCAGCGTGGCGAGGCTGGCTACTCAAGTTAGTGATGAAGTCGAAAAGATTGTGTCACCCAGCAGAATCCGCTACCGAATCAAGGAGACCGGTCTCAATGGGCGCTCGGCCAGGAAGAAGAGCTTCCTGTCCAAGCGACGCCGCAAGCGGCGTCTCGCTTACCCTCGCAAGTATGTAGACCGTGTGGAGGGGGACTGGGATGATATCCTCTTCACGGACGAGGCTCAAGTGGAGCTGCATGGGACTACTGTGGTGTAGGAATTCTCACCTCCAGCCCAAAACGTCGACCTCAAATGCTTTAGGAGTTGATGACTACGGTACGAACTCGGCGTTGGGCCGGATACCAATATCCAGATAGCTGCTGGACTGCCGCCTGCTCTCGGCTGGATCTGAAACGAATTCATTTCATTTGATATTTGTAAAGAAAGCATAGGAGAAAATAGGAGGGACCCAAAATGGCTCCCGACAGATATCAGATAGGAGAGCACAATTGTAATGGGTCACCATTTACATAAATAGGTAGGTTTGATATACAAAAGTAGGTACAATAGCACGCGAGCAGCGCGTGCTGTGTTGTCGTATTCTGATTGGCTGAAAGGTCAGGTATTCAGCCAATCAGGAGTCGACTTGCATTTGAGTGTTTCTCAAGGGGCCAGGGTTGCGCCCTGGACCAAAATTAAATCAGAGTTTTATTTTACCGAGAATTCAATCTTGTCGAGCTAAGTACGCTTCCTCATCGCTACGTGTAAGCTAGTAACGGTAACTTCTTGACTCTGGAGCGACGAATAACTTCTTTCGTGCGTCGTGCTTGTCGGTATTGCCGTCGGACGTCCACGTCCATCAGGGAGACAGCGAGATTGTCGTGAAACTCGCTGATGAAAAGCCGCACCGCGTGGCGCGGCGCGAGATTACCCTGCCATACATGTTTGATGGTTTCTCCAGTAGAGACACCTTCTTGGTAATCGAGATGAATTACGCGTTCGACTGCATTATTGGCATGCCATGGTTAGCCCGGTATCGTCCTGAGATCGACTGGCATGCACGGTCCGTCAAGCGTCGACGCGACTACGATGTCAGGGAGGTGTTAACACATCTCTTGGTTTCCCCAAGGGACTAGCCGCACGTCACCGTCGTGGATCAATCTTCCACGACGAGAGCAGTACACAGAGCGAGCGATGGCTCTCTCTGTACGACCTGTGCCGTGCTTCTGGATGCTATAAGAGTTGAGAACCCCTCGCAGTGGCGCGAGGAGATTAAGCCGACGCTTGAGCATGGGTTCCCATCAACAACAGCGTCGGTGGTCGAGCATGGGTTCCCACCGCAGCATGAGACGGTGGTTGAGCGTGTGTTCCCGCCGAAGAACCAGTTGGTGGTCGTGGGTCCCTGCCAGCAAACGAGGCGGTGGTCGAGCGTGAGTTCCCATCGCAGTGCGTATCAGCGGTCGAGTATGAGTTCCCGCACATAAAGTCGAAGTCGACGGTCGAGCGTGTGTTCCCGTCTCACTGTGAGTTGACGGTGGAGCATGGGTTCCCGTCACCAGCCGAGAACGCGGTCGAGCATGTGTTGCTCCCGCGTGATGATAGCGCGGGAGAGTTTGGTGTACACTCGCGTACGACCGGTGTGATTGAGCGTGACCCTCTCACACCTAGAGGAGGGTGAATCATCGTCGAGCGGTAGCACCACATCCTCTTCGAGTGTTGTCTCCAAGCGAAAGAATAAGTTTAAGCGCCACCGCCTTCAACCCCGTCGCTCGGATACGAGCGCGCCCTCCACAACGGAATCTGTCAGTGTATTAGAGTACGTGGAGGGTGCGCCCAATCGCCAGTACAATCGCAGTCGCCAACCCGCCGAGCGACACCCCTTCGCTGACTCGCCTTCCAGGGCTTTCCTGGAAGCATTTCCTCCTCGACCTCAAGGCTGGTGAGATCAAGCAAGTGTGTCTCATCACAGAGCGAAAGGAGGTACACGGCGTCAATGCAGTTAGCAAGCGCGGAGATTCTATGCGGCCTGCGCACGCCGAACCAAAGTCGGCGCGTGAAGAGCGCTCCGCCGCGCAATCGTGGGAAGCGCTGAAAGCGTCTGGTAATCCTGCCTATAAACTCGTACGCGAATATGCGGATGTATTTCCGGACAAGATCCCCGCGGAGCTTCCTGCAGACCGCGGGGTGCGCCACGAGATCGACCTCGCGCCTGGAACCAAGTACTGCGTGACGCGGCAATGGCCGCTGCCGCGAGATCAAGTCAAGGCGATCGATGAGTTCTTCGAGAGTCGTCGCCAAGCTGGTCACGTCCGTGAGAGCATCTCGCCGCACTCTAGTCCCACCTTCTGTGTCAAGAAGGCTACTGGCGGCTGGCGCATCGCCCACGCCTTCAACAAGCTGAATGGCCTCACGATTTCCGCGCAGACGCCTATTCCCCGTAAGGATATGATCCTGGACTCCATGGCGGGCAGTGAGATCTACAGTGCGATCGACTTGACGGATGACTTCTACCAGATCCTAATGCGGGAGAAGGATGTTTCTCTCACGGCTGTTAGTACGCCGAGCGGGATGCTCTGGGAATGGCTCGTGATGCCCCAAGGCCTGAAGAA